ACCCAGCCGACGAGCTGCCCTACGGTCTGCGGCTTGACTACAATGAAGACGATGGTACCCAAGACGCCGGAGCTGTTGTCACCCAGCGTCGGGAACGTGAGCGAAGCGAAGCAGACGACAGCAATAGCATTGGTGACAATTCGTTCAAGGAAGATTCCGCGAGCGAACAGAAACGCAGGATGCAGAACCGACAAGCTCAACGTGCCTTTCGGGAGCGCAAGGTGAAATACGTGCAGGACCTGGAGAAGCAAGTCAAGGACCTGCTGCTATACGCCGAATCCTTGAAGCATGAAAACCAGATGCTGAGAGCGCGGGGACAGTGGTTAAGCAGCCAGCTAAAGAATTTTCACCGGCAGGCTTCAAAGCGAAGTCCATTATGAGGGGCGTGTGGATGGTCTTTCTCTTTTTTTTTTGGCTTTGTACTTGGGCGGGTACTTCGAGACAGGATTTTGTTTAGGAAGCAGGTTGGGCCAGTTATGTGCGCGTGGTAGGGAGTATTTCGCGGATCTGGTCCTGGTTCACGGTGGAAACTTATATTGAATGGTTATCACGGATGCTATACGACCTTGTACGCGCTGGAGCCATTGAGAGATATCATGGAGTAAAAGGAAGATCCTGCAAGCCCACCCTCCCCGAAATTGAAAGTTCCTGGATTGCCTTCCCCCTGTGCTACTGGTTGTCCCAGATCCCAAATAGTCACCTTGATGGCGCCATTGTTTGAATACAAGCGAGGGAGCATATGCTAGAACCACCCGAAAGCCAACGTTTTCGAGGTGCGAGACTAAACCGACGACAGATGCTTAGTAATCGGCAAAGGCTCGTCCATTTTGAGCCTCCAGGCATTTTGTTATATCTTGTAATTGCGGTCATCAGTGTTAATGTTAATCTGCAACACTCGTCTAGTCTCTCTGCCAAACCACACTCCGTCGATATCTTTCTTGTCTCATCGATGAGGAATAGTGCCTATGGGTTCACATTCACGCTTTGGTAGTCAAACTCCTTTCGAGTGCGCGAGGACTTGGGACAAAGAACGGGTGGTGTCGAATCGCCTGGAGATTCCGAAATTGACAACTATGACTTTCTCTCAACAAACCGTTTCTCATCCTCCCAAACACCTCGTCAACAACCGGACGCGAGGGTCACAAGCATGGGAGCCACGATAGCTGAAATTCACACTCTTTTCGTTGGCTGTTGAATCTTTGAGTCGCCTACAAGATGAAACACTTTCCGTACAAGGTATGTATTCACAACCGTTAGCCCTGAAGCACCACATTTTGCTGCCACTCCGGGTCGGTCTTGAGATTTCCATTCTTCTCCAGGGATGTCGATGCCTTTCTTCCCACTTCTATGGTCATGGACTTCAGAAACACGTCTTGCGGTGGCGTCAAAATCCAGGGCCCTTGTCCAGTCCGCCATCGCCGCCACGACCACCAAGGGGAGATGACCGCGCAGAGGAACGAAAGGATTCTAAGGCCCCACCTACGGTGGCACGCCGGGCACGTTCACCGAAAAGGAAGACTCAACAGTCTCGGATCAGTTTTTCATGTTGATCAAAGAATACAGGCAAAGCCGGGACCCAACAGAGGACTTCATTGACTTGGTGCCCGACACTTTGAAGGAGGCACGGAGCCCGTCTCCATTGTATGTCGTGAAGGAATTGAGGCTCCATGGTTTCGTTGTTCGAGGGTGATTAGTCTTGATCAGCTGAGCATGATGCCTTTGTCGATGCTGGTAACAAAACTTGTTCCCTCTGTAGGTGTGCTGACGCCTCCTACCCCAGTGTCAATTTACCAATCTTGAGCCATGATCATATGAAAGAGACCGTGAGGTGAGAGTAGGTCTGCCCTTGTTCTCTCTGAATTTTCCAGCAATCAACACTACTTTCGTCTGTCTTCCTCTGAAATCCTACATCTTTGCTCCCTCTTTCGGTTTCGTCGTCCCTACCACACACTCCTGAGCGGAACCCCCAGCATATGCTTTGCACGCCTGAACCTCTTCCATCTCTTGCCATTGTTCATAAAAAGACCGACCGTGTCCGGTAAAATCCTGGACAACGGCACGAACTTCTTGCAGAGGCTGCGCGTCAGGAATTGTGTAGGCGATGGCGTGCCTTAGACCTCAACATGGAGCTTGACCATCCACGGCCGTCTTTCTCGCTCCACCCCCGGGGCCTCTTACGGGTTCTCTAAGACGTGGCTTCGTCGCTGAGTCCAGATCCCCGAAATTAGCACCATTGACACGGGCCATGGGTCCTGTGAGTCTTCACAGATGACACCCTTCGCGCTGTTCTCCAAAAGCGGATGTTATCAGGAGATCATCTTTTTCACCAACGGGCCAAGCTCTTTAAACTACTTCTCGCAAATAACATCCTACGGACACTGGGTGGCGGCGCAGTGAAACGAATAACTCCTGCACCAAGGATTTCGTTCCGTCCAACCCCGATGGAACGGGATCTTGTGGGAGTGAACTGCCGCTGCCCTTGCCGTCTTCATACAGTCTCCTTTTCCAAAGGTTCTTGGTGGTTTCTCTTCGCAGACTTTCCCCCTGTAGTTCCTCTCCCCTGCTATATTTCAGAACGTTCCGTGTTGGGGAGCTGGTGGACATCGCCCTCTGCTCCTAGCACTGCCATTCGAATTCGTTATGCCTGCTATTAGTTCCAGTTTCATTCAATGAGACTTGTTTCTCTGCATAGGTCACAGCCACCCATTTGACAAGGAGTTCATTCCAACATCACCACCGTGGGGAGAAAGATTTTGTGTCCACGATCCCTTCCTCCTTCACCCCAATCTGTCTCGCCCCGTCCGGCTTGTCGGCACTAACAGGCAGAGACATTCTCAATTGTTCACGATTCAGACATTCGACGATAATCAGCTTCAACCCCAGCATGTTCTATTGGACTAATATACACTTTATGTTGTAATGGCAATGCAATCCCTTCCAACGGAATTTCGAGATATAGTCTTAGTTTGGTCTGTCGCTATAATTCTGGGATGAGGTTCGTCAATACTGTTCTCTTGCAATTTCAAAGGTGGGTTGAACTTTATAAATATTGTCCGGCTACTGAGAAGAGCATGTATGTGTCTCAGAGGGTGGGCTAATTCGAGTGTACAGTGGTCGCGGACAAATCTTTCTTCATTCGATAGCCATTTTATCCCCAGGCCGTGAGTAAGGGAAGCGATTCCTCTCGCGCAGCTGTGTCTTGCACGACCTCACGTCGCTATCGAGCTGCTATCCTGCGCTTCGGATGAGAATAATGAGGACAAGAGGAGGACCATCACCAAAACCCAGACCCTTTCCTGCTTTCCGCCGGGGTAGCGAAAATGCTTGATCACCTGTGAGTACTTCACTTGCGATGTTTGAACAAGGAGTCACGCATGTTCAAGACTGCCTGAGTGCATGCGAAGGATTGTACAATTGCTAAGCCTACCAAAAGCCCGCGGCTGAGCTAGAGGGAGACAGGACTCATGCACCTTGGCCCCCGTGTCCCTCGTCGAACGGGTATCGTCAAGGTCGATATCACCCACTGCGACAAGGATGCTTTGTGGAAACGCATATTTGCCTACGCACAGGCAAGACCACGGTCGACAATCCCAGTCAAAGATTATCAGCTTGAAAAAAGAAATTCAAGAAAGAACTCGATCTCGGCTTTTCCTTCTCATGTACTATGGCGTCGCGGAAAACAGACATGAGAACTGAATCATACCAGGCAGGAGATTGCCACTCAGTAACCTTCCTTGCAACGTTGCATCTCACTCCCAAGGCTCGACGTTTGATGCTAAGGCGGCGACAACAAATCGGAGGGCTGGCCGGCCAGCCTCGCAGCTTAAAGCAGATGAAATAGATGAAATATTAAAGAGGAAGCTTGACCGACGGTCTTGGCACCGCGGCAGTTCACAGAGACCAGTCTGAGGCCGACTTGGGCCGACCCCAGCAATTGCAACACTGGAGATTGTAATCATTTCTTACAATCCTCTGTCCTGAGTAGCAATTTGCAAAACGTTGTGATTGTCAGGCTTCCGATTCTTTGCTTGTATTGTAACGAAGCACTTGAGGGTTCGGCGTGCACGTGCAACAACGCACACAGGCCTGTCCAGCAGATCGGGAATCGAGAACGCGTTTCTGGTTGATACTGACAAGACAACACCACCACCAACATCACCCAGATAGGCGGCGGCTAGGGCTACGAACACCTAGCACGGCGGCAGCATCGAGCAACAGAACTGGACTGATAAAACACTCAAGAATAGACTAACGGCGTCAAAACCATTGAATTCCTCGTACTCTCTCAAAACTGTAAAAGAATGGCACACTGCCAGCACTGTAAACTGTCCTGCTCCCAGCTCTCTAATTAGGTTTGACATGTGACCTGACAGACCTCTGCCTTGCCAGTTCACCACCACCCCAGCACTGCACAACCACCTTGCCTTGTTACAGTATATTGTAACAAGGCAAAGTGGCCGGGTTGGGCTGGTATGTATAGGGGTAGCAGGAAGGAGATTGGCTGGTCACATGTCAAACCAAAAACAACTGACATCGGCTCTGTTTATGCAGAAAAAGATCATGCTATTGCTAGGGGGAGTGCTCTAGACGGTTCACGTGCTGGCAGTGTGCCATTCTTTACAGACTGAACAGAGTATTCTATGTTTTTGATGTCGTCTACCTATTCCTGAGTGTTTTATCGGTCCTTTCCCACTCCTCAATGCCGCCGCCGTGCTAGACGCCCGTTGCCCTAGCCGCGGTCTCTCCGGGGGTGGTGTTGGTGGTGGTGTTCCCCTGTCAGCGTTGACCAGAAATGCGTTCTCGATTCTCGACCTAATGGACAGGCCCCTGTGCGTTGTTGCACGTGCATGCCAAGCCCTGAAGCGCTCTGTTACAGTATAATCTTCCTCGAGGGTCGGTGCATCATCTTATTTTGGGGATATGTCGCAACAGTTCTATTCTGTCCCGCACTCATCTAACCCTTCCTGGCGCATGCAGAGACGTGTATCGGTCAGAGAAATATGGCTACCCACCAGACCGCCAAAACACAATACGTATCCACTCCCGATGGGACAATCACCTTCGCGTACCGTCACATTGGCACTCCCAATAAGGACAACGTCCCGCTCCTCTTCCTAATCCACTTCCGTGTCACAATAGACAAGTTGGATCCCTTGCTGATCAATTCGATCGCTCAATCTCGTCCTGTGATCCTGGTGGATTATGCCGGACTCGGCCACTCAAGAGTTGCGTGGCGCCTTCGTTCTAGGACTCTGCAGGGGACATGGCGACGTTTATGGCATTGTTGGGAGTGAAGGAACTTGACGTTCTCGGGTTTAGCATCGGCGGGTTTGTGGCCCGGCTGCTCGCTTTGAACCACGCGGACGGAGACAGGTCGAAGGGCAGAAAGCTGATCATCTGCGGATCCACAGCAAGTGTCGGACCAGATATGCCTGAGACAGACAACGGCTAATACAAGACAGCAGCGACACGGCCGTACGTCACCATCCAAAGGCTCAAGGAGTTGTGCTTCCCCGGGACTCCCGAGGGAGAAATGATCGCGGAGGAGTGGTAGGCGCACACCCAGGCGCGGGATGAGAACACAAGTGACGAAATGTCTGGTGAATGGGCATCTCAGGGTTTCGGGGACGGAGGAGCCGTGTTAATGGCGTAGGGCGGAGCTTTGACGGATTACTTCAATTCTGAGAAGAGCAAAGGCATGGATGGGACTTTTGAGAGATTGGGCGATTTGGAGTTACCGGTGCTGGTGGCCCACGGATCGGTCAGTCAAGCCATCAGGTTGCTTCGTTGTTGCTCTGGCAACATGGCCACTGCGCTTGCTGCTTGTCACCTCATCTCCCTCCCTCCGGCCCTTGAATGCTTCCGTATCTCTGGTGCAAAGCTGACATGTTTCCGTCCATGCTTCCAGAACGACAAGATGATCCCCACGATCAGCAGCTTCCATTTGCAGCAGAAAGTGTCGAATGGATAGCTGCTCATCTACCCGAACAGTGGACTCGGCTTCCTGCACCAGTACGCCGAACTGTTCGCAAAGCAGGTGAATGCTTTCTTGGACGCCTTGGACCGTGGTCGAATCTGGGATCAAGCCAGCGTAATGGCGAGGAGTAGTTTCCTCATAAATTCTAGCCGGTCCTACGGCGGTGCTGGCCTAAGATGATGAGCCTCCACAATCGACAACGAGGGTCACGACCCAAGAAACACAGTGCGTACTTTCCAGCTCTGTCCCTTTCCAAGAGTTCCACAGCTGCATTAGTCACGCAGATGACATGGCCGAGAGAAACATGCAGGCAAAACTTCCTTCCTAGTTCATGCATTCGTGCATGTACCTATGTATTCAAGCATCCCATTCTTCGTGCGACCTGTCAAAATAGTTGCTCCCCCATCCATAGGTGGTTGTCCTGTCCGCATGGCCCCCGCAAGGCTGCCAAAGTTCAGGGGGGATGGCAACGCGGGAGGATGCGATAACGTCCGACTATAAGGACAATTGCGGAGTACCAGAACGGGGTGCTCGTATGGACTAGATTCAACTTGCTTAAGTCAGGGGGTGAATGCCTGAGAACAGAAAAGAAATCTGCCGCCAGTGGCACCTACGCATAGCATACTTGTATATTGCGGAATAACCATGTTCCCGCCATGCCCAGACCACGACGCGAGTCCGCATTCGCGTGGTTCTTATTTCGGCGATGGCGTGAAGCTGGCCGCCGCTTTTTGATTGTCCACTCATACGACGTCTTGGTACTCCACTCTACTTGATATCAGCCAGTATCAGTCAACCAAAAGGTCTTGCTGCTTTTTTAACAGCAAGCTGGTGAGCCTTGATTGGGAAATGGTGTCTCCGCTTTATCTCACTCTTGATTGGTCTTTAAGGTCCTCACTTTGAGACGACGGGACTGGGGCGCCACGAAGCATTGAAGGGTACTGTGAGAAAGGAGAAAAAGAAACGGTGCAGGTCATCTTTGTTGTAGCTGTTCTGTCTGCTGCATGTTTATGAGATCCCTTACCGCACAATAGTTGGTTGGAGCCCGTTGAAATACTTCTCTTTTTCCCCGCACATGGTTGAGGCAGTATGTTGTACATAGGTGACTTTTGTATACCTCCTTAGGAAAGAGATAATGCCTGAGCTTGCCGTAAGGTCAACAGCCTCAGTATGGCGTGATATCCGACTTATCTTCTTGGACAATTGAGGCTAAACTGTTAGCGAGGGAGGACTCCGTACTTCCCTCAGCATGGCCGTCTTCTGTAGCAGCCAAACGCTGAGAAATGAAACTAGAGGCCCTCTTCAACCTCCACAAGTCACATATCATTGCCTGATATACCTGTGACCGTGCTCGTCGTAGGCGGGCGGTGTGCTGCATGTACGGAGTAGCTCTCTTAATTCTCGTCGAATATAGTTATCATCTTGGATATAATGAGATCAGTGAAGCTGGAAATAGATCTGGTGAATCAGGTTCCCTTCGCCCTTGCTCCAAAGTCCCGCAGTGATGAAGTGCCAATTGTGTGCAAACATGTTAAATTTTGGGTCAAAATGGCATTCCATTGGGACACATGGCGCCTGAGCAGGAAACTCCTGAATCCTGATTCAGCAATGTCGAATGTTGGCTGCTGGGGAAGGGGGGGGAACCTTAAGGTCCTCACTTTTTAATCCCTGCCATTTCCCAACAAGGAGCACTTCGCGTCGGCCGGATCCCTGGAGCCATATGTACAGAGCACCCAGCACCTGGCTGTTCCTCCGTTTCTCTCTCTCCTCTCTCTCTCTCTCCTGTCCTGTGTTTTCACCGTGGCTCATTTCCTTGGAGAGACATAGCAACAGGAAGAGCAGTCACGATGTCCCCAGCCATGAAGACCAATGGATGCTACTTGTCTGTTGGGATGTCAGCATCGACGAACTCGAACAGCTTTCCAGCGTGAAGGGGCATAGCTATACCAACAAGTTTCTGCTCGACATCCATCCCCTGGCAGACGTCACATTCCTCTGCCGACCGCCGAAACTTCTTCCAAACCCAGGGCAAGGTGGCCGCTCCTGGTGAACAGTCCAACCACCACCACCACCGCCACCATGGGCGTGTCTCTATTTCTGTGCGAGCGAGGCTGCAACAGACGGAACAGAAGGACTAGCAGTCGGTGCTCCAAGGCCAATGTCGACTTCACCATCAGGGTAACCTGAGCAGGGGGAACACCACAGATGAATGAATACACTAAGAAGCTGATAGGACACGCCATATCCGATGGTCCGTTAAAGGAAGAGGACATCGGTGTCTCAAATGGAGTTTGACATTCTGCACCAGGATCTTCGGGACAGGAACCATGTCCTTCCAACCGCTTCATATACCTGAGGATTTGGCAAGGCCAATCACTCCATTTTGCCTCGACAGATGTCGCGAATTCGGTGGTCGAGCTTTCCCAACTACGCCGATCACCCCAGGCTCGAACCCGAAACGATCGATATGCAATATCACTCTGAAGGCAGGGATCCCAAGCAGTCGTGTTCATACTTAACCAGCATCTTCTGACCAGCTTGGGATGCAGCATGGAGCCTGGCACATGTCATGTCCTGGTGGAAGGTAACACAGGACACTTGTGCCCAAGAGGGGCTGTCTTACCTGGGAAGTGCGTGGGCCTCGCTGCCGACCCGACACTGCCGAATAACCTCGCTCAGTGGGAAAAGGAGTTGTCCGAGACAAATCTGCTGTGGATGAAAAGTGGGATGGCCCACTATGATGTGAAAGAACAATACTGTGAAAGGCACGGCCTTTGAGGATGCGCGGATGGATGCGATATCAAGAACCACCGTACTGAACAGGACGGAGGTACGCACCGGGACAATAGCGCGGGGCGAGAGGCATGTTCATTGGCAGTCTCTGGTCGAAGGAAGCAGGCGGAAACAGCCAGCGTGGTGAGCAAAAGAACCGTCGATAAGGTAAGCAAGTAAGGGACATGAAACCACGAAAACTACGTGGGATTGCGTTACACATCTCATGATTCCAAGAAGCCCCCTCCGTCACCCAAGGGGTCCTTGACTGAAGGGGATGACGAGACGCATGATTAGGTCCTAGAATGTGCATTTCTGATCATTGCTATCTAGGGATGCTATTCTCCTTGCGACGAGGTGGTATCTCGGAACCCTTCGATGTCGGCGTCCACCTCTGCCCGCTGCTCGAGAGATAACCTTGACAATTTGCAGCAACCCCAATTCCATCCATCACTTCCCAAGATCAAGAGCTAGGATATATTGGTGAAAAGATTTAATGCTTCATCACATATCAGTGACAGGTTTATTCAAAAGTGTGGGAGGGAGGGAGGAATAGACATACGGTGCAGCATGTGCAGCCCTTGCATTCGCCGGAGCCATGGGAGCAGGTGCCGCAGTGGGGTTCCATTGTGAGGAATTTGTTGAAGTCTCTGACTTGCTGATATGGTTTGGAGTGCTTGCTGCTGCTGTTGTTGCCTTTGAGTCGAAATATGTTTTGGGATGGTAAGGAAGGAAAGATCGAGAGCCCAAGGTAAGGAAAAGAGAGCTGCATTTATACCTTTCAGCTGGCTATGTTTCTCGATCACATTCGAGCAAGGAGATTCCCACTGTAGCCATAGGCCGCCATATCCCACGCAAAAAGCAAAGTGATGCATACGTTGTTCGAGACGTGTCAGATGCTTTGGGCGTGTGATTGGTGCTCTCAGCTTATCGGTTACGTACTGTCATGGTGTGACAGCGTTCCCCTGTCCTACCGCCAGGCCCGTTCCGCGTGATCAGACAAAGGATACTCTGCCTGGGGTTAGTCTCTATTAAAAATAAGGTTGGTCGTCTGCGCCAGGAGCAAGAGGGGTCGGCAGGGAGTTGTGGCTCATGGCAAATTGGTGGCATTGGAGCGGTCAAGGAGATCTCCACAGCCTGGATTCCTGTCTCTGCGTTCTTTGGTCAGAAATCGGTTGGAGTTGTAACAATGTGCCCGCACAGTCCTGCTCAACGTAGTAAAAAGGAGGAAGATCGAACAAGCGGAGTACTTTCATGCGTGGGATGTGAGACGAGCTCCCCAAAGGCCGGGCGTGGGATTGGCGTTGACTCCAGGGAGCGGCTCCGTGAACACTTGCTCGGAAGTCCTCGCGTTTGGCGCCGGCTGGGGTTGAATCGATTTAGATGACTCTCATTGGAAACCCTGCCCGACAATCCAGGCCGGATGGCTGGCTCAAGCATTAAGGCCCCTTCTCGCGCCAACTGGAAGAACGACAACGCCGAAGGCGCATCGGTAGAAGACCTCAATCGTGGTGGCCAACGGTCGAGTGGTTTGCAGGCAACCGTCTTTTGCAAGAGCTCAACGTCTTCCTCTAGAAAAGGAGCGACGCACAGGGGATGTTAGGGTAAAAGCAGCGTCACAGTGCTGAAGCCTTTTGGCTCAACTCTCCCGCGAGAAGAGACGGCTTCGTCAATCTTGGCACACATCCAGGACAGATACCAAAAGCGGCGGCAAGGTGCTGCCAAATGTGGCGCAGAATCTCCATTGTAGCAAGTTGCACATTCTGCGCGTTGAGCTGTGAGGCAGACCGAGCATTTCTCGAGACTGTTATAAGTCAGATGTGAACATGGCACCTCTTAGTGCCGGCAGCTGTTTTCAGATCTCCCCCCATACTTGCCGATACGTACAAAGGCTCAGAAATCGATCTGCAAGCCAATGCCCACGTCGATTCCAACGAGCTTGACAAGCGATCAATCCGCCGCAGCGGAGTAGATGGTGTAGCTAGTCGAGTCACTCTAGGCCAGGGTTTGGAGTTGCTGCTGCTGTTCACTATCGACACGCTTGCTCTCCTCATGAAGATGGGCAGGGAACAAACCATCGAGTCCAGATTTCATGTGGTCCATCGTTCTAGGGATTATGTATGTAGATATAGTGCAAACAGAACGACATGTCGCTAAAACCATAAATCATCCTCTTGTTCATGGCGGGAGGAGCCGAGGATGAAGTCATATTTCCGTTTGTGGATCCGCAAAGTAATTCAAGACATCCTGTGGTAGATATTCCAACCAGGGTATCATGTCGCCACCTAGGAAATCGAAATTGAACTGCTGCCCTGCACTCATATCAATATCTTGTGATTCAATCAGCATATCACTGTAAGCTTGATTTTGTGTGTCAACAAACGGTTGCCTGGGGCTTATGGAACTACTATATCGAGGCACTTGCTGTGAGTATCCGAAGGTATTCGATGGCCGACTGGGCTGTATGGGTCCAGGAGCAATACTGGATGATGGCGCTGAGCTAGCAGTGTATGGAGAGTGGAGCCCAAGCAAAAGGTCTGCATCAGCTGTTGATACTGGATCGTAAGGTACTGATGACACTCTATCAGTAGATGTTGAGCTTTCTCCACGGTAAGCTTGTCCCAGTTGATCAGTTATGGTCTGGTCCCCTTGGACAATGGATACGTTCTGATTTGGCCACTGTGCTTCAAAATTTCTCGTAGCTGGTGTACCTTTGGTCGTCTCGACTTCAGCTTTCGTCAGCGGAGCCGCCAGTGGAGTCTTCTCAGTTTCACCGCCCGTCGGATACAGGAAGCTGAGATTGGGGGCTAGAGAGTTGGCCGTCCCAGTCAAAGACCACCCAATTGCATTACTGAGGTCCATCGACGGAGATATCGGCGCGCTCCCCGGCAGTCCCTTCAGAGTGCGGAGTCTCCCATATGCACCAAGTGAAGCAGCGAGCGAAGTGCTTCTTCGCCAGCCGGGCGTGGTAAAAGAAGGCTCTGTTGATGGCATTTCCCCATCGACATCTTCTGCAGTAAAGAGCAAGGGATCCATCAAGCCTTTCGACTTCTGGTCAAGAGCGGTCAAGATGTAGCGACAACCAGCCCAATAAGAATCCAGAGTCTCAAGAGCTTTGTAGCACCGCTGATAATTTTGATTAGCCGCAGTAGCGAGAAGCGTATGTCGTGCAGAGGCTGCTTTTTGCGTCCTTTCCGCAACCACGTCCGGCTTCGGCCGAGGCGTATGTCCGCTTGACGGCGGAGACGTCGCTCGAGACGACGGCTGGGAGGTATGGGCGGCAGCCTCTGCTAGAAAAGCGCATGCCGCGACATACATGGGCTGGCTTGTAAACGGATTACCGATGAAACTCTTTACATCGATCAACTCAGCAAACGCCAGGATATCCGCAATCGTCTTTGCCGACGACATCGACAATTCCCTGCTGTCGGGAAAAAGTTGTTGAATTCGTCCTTCGAATGAGTGCAGCAACGTCGGCTGGTGAAGCAGGACAATCAAGGTGTGAAACCAGAAATGTAGTAGTATGAAGTTGGTGCCATGACCCGCTTTGACATAATGTTGGAAATTTGTGGCATTGAAATGCAACCTAGGCGACAACCGTTGATATATGCCTGTGGTGGGTTAGCCTATAGGGTTCAAGCAGATACCGAATCCTTACCGGTCAAATCTCTCTCCATGCTTGCCAAACGCTTCAACACATCTGGCGTTACCTGGCTGACCTCCTTTATGTTGTTGAGCACATCTGCAACTCGTCCATACATGTGAACAATCTTAATCATAGCAGGAAACGGATCAGGGTATCCATTGATCATCTTCTCATCGCTTCGATATGGAAAGGAGATTTCGATGTCCTTGTCTCGTAGAGTGACCGGACGTCCCACGCCAGAAGAAACTGCTCGGTCCAGAAAGAAGATTGCCCAAAAGGTATCAATGCGTTCTTGTTCACTTGCCCTTCGGTCGTCCAGCTGAGAACTGCCTTGTTCAGACAGATTTCGAGACAGCCTTTGTTGCTGTTCGGCTCTCCTCTGCTCTTCAGCCTTACCGTCTTGACCAAGTTTCGCAGTTTTGGGAGTTGGTCCGATTCGCCCTTCGAGTTGTAAGCCCTCGAGCTTTTGAATGCCCAGATCCTGCGCCATGCGAATGGCCGTGCCAAGGTACATCCATAAGCCACTATCGTGATCAACGCCAAATTCCTCGTAGGCGAGAAGGAGGCAGGCTTGAGCGACAGCCATGGTTGGGCAAGAAAACGTGTCGATGACGGCCGACATGGCCCGTTGAGCGAACGGATGGCCCCGAAAGGCTCTCCTGACATTTCCTTCTGGGTCTAATGGAATGGACGCGTCATTGGATCTGCAAAGGAGAGGGTTTGCTGAGAATCGCGCCGCAACCGCGCAGACAGCATCGACTAGGATGGCATCGACTTTCTTCTCTTCCAAATCTCTCAGGAATCTGTCGCGTTGAAGAAAAGGGTAGTTGCAGCCAAGATGAGCGAAGAACGTTTCGCAAAGATGGGTGATCAGGGGAGCATTTTGTTCCGGGTCTGTCGCATCGTAAAAGGGTATCTCAACGGGCATTCTATCCTGACCAAGGGCGAAATTCCCATCTAACTGTTGACCAGCAGCTGGAGACTCTCCAGAGGCCGAAGGCAAGCTCGATCTATGGTCTTTGACTTGCACCACCATCTGTTTAAACCCAGGTACGATCGCCGTTGGCCCGAAATACCGGAAGTAGGGAACCCGGTTTCGAGAAGAGGTGAAGCTGCTCGAGGTATGATTGCTCGAAGGACTTATCATTCCTCCATCTTCCCTGTGCTTGTTGTCTGTTTCTTTTTCTGGCCCATACCGCGGCTTCATCGCGACTTCTGCATCTCTACTGTGCTTTTGAGGCGTTGAGGATCCAGAGTCGGCTTCATCTTCAGCATCCTCGTCAGCTCTTTCACCATCTTTGCGCGTTGGGCGATCGGCATAGCCTGAACAGACATGACTGTTATCCGTGCAGGTTTTACACTCGGGCCGCTCGCCCGAGCAACGCGTTTTCCTCTTGCGACAAGTGAGACAAGCCGCATTTATTCGCCTCCTCTTCGTGTGCGGTTGGCCATCGGTCGAGACGAAACGGATTTGGCGAGGTGGTGGGAGAAAACTTGTAGGTGGATCTTGGGAAGCGGACTGGCCAGGGTGAACGCCGCTCAGGCTCATACTTCAAGAGAAGGGACTCGCGCTCGTAGCCCTGGAGGATAGCATCTTAAATAGGCAGTGTCAATCGAAAAGATTCCTAGCCACCTCAGCCTAGGACAGACAGCCAAACGGTTCAGCCCAAGCACATGTTCGAAGTGTTTCAGTTGCAGCCTGGCCACTCGCTTCACTGGAGACAGTTCAAGCGCTGAGAAGTGGCCGTGGGAAAGCGAAGAGCATGAGGAGATGTTCATATGAAAACAAACGCAGCTTGTGGCCATGGGAAGAAGCTGCATTCAGCCATTCGCACTTTGCATACTGCTACCTCGCAGAAGGTGTCCTAGTGCTTGTGATGATCGTCTGGGCTTCGAACATGCCACCAACCGCCTAGGAAGCGCCTATTGAAGGGGTTGCGGGGACAATCTCCACCGATTGTGCACCGAGTACTGGCTCGGTAGTTCAGCAACTATGAGGTACAGGGGTGACGGAGTACTGAGTCCCCATGATGCCCTTTGCTACAAAATTTATTCCCGTCAATGAGTGTGCAATAGGGGACATATGGTACTCGACAGCTTGTTCGCTATTCATAACTTCGTATTGGCCACGCCTTGTCACCACAATATCTGCATTCTGATGATAAGTGTTGCATGGTTTCTATGCAAAAAGGCTTTAAAGTGGCTCAAGACGGGCGACCCCGGCCTCTCCATCCGCCTGTGACTCCATAACAGCACACACCGTTCTGTTCACACCACGCCCTAACTTCTAGTAGGCTTACTTCGCGATCTTCGCCTATCGCATTCAATCCTTCCGTATTCAACCAGACCGTCAGTTCCTCAAGGACAATCGGATCGTACATGAGGATTTTTTCGTGCCAGGTTGGCGATATTTGATGGTTTCGAGATTCTCCATCTTTAGACTGGGTTTCCGGATGGCGAGAGATAGCTGCATCAATCTGTGAAAGAATATTCGGTGCAGGAGTTTGTTGAGGCGTGAGTCCAGGACCTTCAGCCGCAGGACCGTCCAATCTCGAGATATTGTTCGCGCTCAGGGGCCGAGAAGGTTGACAGCCTTGTGAGGGTGCGGATCTCTCTTGCGGCATTGTTGGCGGTGGCGTAAGAGGTTTTTGTGTTGTAGGTCTCAACTTGGATTTCAGTCGCTCTGGTTCATTTTGCAACCCTAGAGGTTCCGACCGGTGCTTCACCTCAATATTGTGGTTATCAAACTCATCCAAGTCATCAACATCCACAACTTTCTCGTCCGAAAATGTCTTCGACGCCCGCTTTCGGGCAGCCTTCCCTTCCTTTTGTGCAGGTTCACTCGATTTCGTCGCTGTTTTTTTCCTCTTCTTCGGCTCATTGGCGGTGCCCATATCCCCAGATTCGGATTTTCGTTTAGCACGAGATTTATTGAGTTTCGGAACGGGTCTCGTAGAGACATCATGGATTTTACTTAGTAAATCACCGTGTGTCATTGCATCAATCGATACACTTTCATCGTCATGGGGGTATTGCACACCATGTTTGCTCTCCCAGCATCGCTCGAGAAGCTCGATCATGGCCTCCCGCTTCTTAACAGCCTTGAAACCGTAGGCAGTTATCTGTTTCTTAAGCTCATAATCAGAAAAGCCCACGTATGATGGCATGATTGGCGGTGGATTCGACACCGCGCTCTTTGCTTCCGAATGTGCCTCGCTGTCCTGCTGATTGATTTTGGCTGCCTTCTGTGGCTGTTTTAGTGTTCGAGAAGTGTGATACAGCCTCGCTCGTGCCTGCGTAGGTGGTTTGATGGACTTGGGAAGCCTAGGCGTAACGATATCATCAATATCAATCGGTGATTCAACTTCTTTGGCGTTCGAAGGCGGTGCTCGAGAAGGAGGCCCTGGTGGACTATTATCCAAAGTGTCTATGTCTTGATGGTTCGGACCTATAGATTGCAGAAGCACGTCTTTCCCAGCAAGAGCTAGACGTACGGCAGGCGAATCGGTCAGGTCAACCGTATCAACTTGCAGCAAAGCATTATCTTCGTCGCGGCCAGCTGCACCCCACAAGTCCCTTCTTTTGACAAATCGACCCGTACCACGACAAGCTTTGGGTGACGTCGACTCAATCGAGATAGGCTGCGTCGATAGTGGTGAAATAGGATCAGAAGAAAGACATTCAGATCGCTTCAATACTTCCAGAGTATCCCTGGTCAAGGTAGGTGATTCGTCGCGAGCTAACTGACTTGCCGGACCGAAAAGATATGGTTGCTCCAGATTGGATTTTATTGCGGATGAAGGAGACTTCAATCGAGTCTTTGCTGGAGCCTTTTTGGTTGGACGTGCCTTCTTGCACGGAACCTTTGATTTGGAGACCTTCAAACTCACGTCCGTAACTGAGCCTGCTTCGCTCTCAGCGCCCACTTGTGTCGCCGTAAGGTATTCAAGCATAGGAGATAGTTTTGTCTCTTTCTGCCGGCTATCGCCGTAGTGCGAAGTCGCCAACCCTGTGATTGTAAGAGCCTTCTTGGCTGGGGGCTTTGCCTTTCCATTGCTTGCACCTTTACCCAGATTCTCGCAAGCCTTGGATGTCAATAAGGACGGTGAAGATCTTGCCTCAGTATTCATCACAAGGTCAATACTCCTCCTACTTGGTCGCTCCTGATTTGCCTCGGGTTTTGTCGCAGTTTTCTCCATGGCCATTCTAGCTGCCGGGGGAAAGGCATAAGATTTCATTAGATCATTGGAAAATCCAACAGTTCGGTCTTCAGATTGTGGAGTCTCCAAATCGTGTGGCTTCGGCTTGACGGGCGTCCAGTCCAATCGCCTTGGTATGGCCTTCTCTTGTGCGAAAGGGCTTCTTGAATGTCTGCTCATTTGTAACCCACGCTCGTCTCCGGACTGTTTGGGTGCCGTCTCTAAAGCGTCGATATTCAGTGGCTTGATGGCGTGAGAGATTTTGGGGCGTGGAATCGGCTTTGGGGTGAACGACTCAGTAAATTCGAAATGCTTAGACCGCTCCTCTGCTTGTGTTCCTCCTTTCTTTTTTCCCCGTGTTGCTCCTTCAAGTGAGTTTCCAGCAAGCTCATCGGTCTGCGGTGATGACTTCGCCTTGAATCTATCTTTCCTTGGAGACAAGAGGGGGATATTCTCCGCGCCGACCTTTGTGGTGAGCAAGGCAAGTGGGCTGCCGAAGCCACCTGAGAACCCATCTCTAACCTGCCTGGAGATCTTGAATTGCTTTAAATCGATGGCCTCACCTGTCGATAATGTACATGGCGACCGCAACGGAGGAGGAGTCTCTGCAGGGGTGGGAGAACGTGCGAACATTCGTGGAGGAGAGGACGAAAGAATTACAACGGCAGCGGACATGGTGCGATGGCCCTTGATGGCCCATTGGCCCAGGTTAGAGACTGCCAACGTGGTTCTGGGATGGCATTGAGAAAGAAAAGTCAAAATACCAAGGACGGCGATGTCAGTCGAAATGCACCGCTGGTGACATGTGCTGCATGTGTTATTGAAGTTCAGGCGACCAGCAAAACAAAAGTGAGGCTCAGCGGGAGAGCGAGAGGGTTGCAAATAATGGACCCTTAATTCGCAGGTCGAGACGCGACTCGTCCACGATCCCACGTGAGCAGTTCCATGGGAGCTCTGGAGCCACCGCCACTCGTTACATTTAATACTTGATCTCTCAATGAACACTTCCAGCTCGGAACAGTGCGGCAAAAACTATTCACCGACAAGGTGGTCCCCCTTTAATGTCACAGTCCAGCCAACGAACTACACCAAACTCCCAGTCTTCCGGGTATCCTTCATAACGCCGTCCCTTTCAGGAGTTCAATCCTCAGCCCCATTGCAGAAGTGCCCCCAGACTCCCATGCCTTGAAAATCTTGCTCATCCGGGCCAACTATCAGTTGTGGTGGTTCAGGAAGTGGAGGGTTTGGTGGGCTTCCTTCGGACAGGTTGACGGTCAGGCTCGATGCCGGCGACACAGATGGTGGGCTTTCGCCCTCCAGGATGGGCATATCGTGCTCAGCTCGTTCGATAGCTAACTCTGTCAGTCCCCACTGCCTCCTCCTCCCTTCAATAGTCCCATGTTATACTCACAGCCTACCATTGGCCTTGACATGACGCTGTACCAATTGAAGATAGTGCTGCCAATTCGCCAGATCAAGGAAAGATGATAGGTCCAAGTGGCAGCGAGGAGCCAGCCCACGACCTTGGGGCCTTTCATCAACACGAAATACAATTTGGTCGGCCACAGCCGAGTTTCTGCGGAAGGCATTGCTTGGTTCATGACTCTGGAGAGACATGGCATCGGCGGTGGCGATAAGTTATATAGAGCACCCAACGAAAGTGAGAGGGTCGCAATCACCATTGAAGCATTGGCTGCCAAATCACCTTCAAAAATCACTCACTCTGTCTCAGAGAGTCTTCGTCCTCTTCAAGGACGGTAGATGTCCAAAGACTCCTAGTCATAAAGCAGGAGTGCATGAGGAATTGGGCAGATTGGCGAGGTCGAATCCAGGGAGATGTAGAAAAGTAACCAGTCGAGTCGAAGAGCCCAGCGCCCTGATCGGCGGTGGGACATTACGGCGAAAGCTGAACTGTGAGTCGATGAAGCCATCAGGCAAAAGCAGCCTCACTAGACAGTCATTGAACAGAGGGTTGGTTGAGGGTGAGTGTTGGAGGGTGAGGATATTGGCGAGGATTTTGTCACTATCAGGCGCATCAACACAGAAGGTGAGGAAAGGTCGAATACGTCTGTGCTACACCGTAGCAGTTTCTGCAGCAACATTCGGAGAAGCACAAGGTCCGCAAGCGCAATTCTTGATCGAGCATGCGAAGCTCACCAGCCACATCGACCCCGCCGTAGGCTGAGTTCACGAATAACCACCACCACTACCTCGTACGTCTCAGTGAAGTCATCGAAGCCCGCTAGGTGCCCGTTGGACGCCCATCGCCCCACGGTTTGGTTGGTTGGGTGCAATCCAAGGCCTGGATCGTGCCGTCGACCTCAGACCAACACCAAACCTTTCAGCCGCA